CAGTAGGTAGGTTTCCTGACAAAAGAATTGAGTGTATCTATCTTTTCTATATAATTTTGACTTTAAATTCTTCTTTGCATTGTCGCATGGCCGGTACACATGCCTTCAGATTGTAGTGAACTCAAAGGGATTGACAGCCTTCCCCCAATTCCTGTTCAGCAGTAGTTTTGTGTTCAAGCAGCAGTGAGTTCAGCTTTACAGCCCCTCCTGAGGGCTTTGCGATACCTATGATGTCTCTACAAGAACTCACCTGGATGAGGCATAGCCGAAATGAAGCTCCTCACTGCACTGCTAGAGCATCTGTCTTCAAAAGCCCACGCAGCTTTTTGATGAGCGTGTCTTTTGCTGTGACTGGCGACTGTTGTATACAGTCATGATTACATGGTCAGTCTTCCTAATTACAGTCCTATAAGACCTGTACGTATTCCTATGTTGTGAGTTGCTCCTACTGAAATCACTAGGATTCCTCAAAACAGGCAAATTTAAGCAAAATGGACCATTCAGTGGCACTGGAACCTATCTGTGGGAACTGTAATGTATCTGATCCAGAATAAATTGCTTCAAGATAGTTGTAAGTTTCATTCCTAAAGCGAACAGCTTTTGGTGGCTTCACAAAATACCAGTTTCTTCAGAGAGTCTTCTCACACTGGTGATCTAAAAGCTGTTATTTCTGATAACGTTGCAGTTGAAGTAGTCACATCTTCTGCTGTTGATATCACTGCACATTACAGGGTGATGATCCAGAGGATACACCCTGGAACTTCACATGCCAAGATGGAGAAAAATCAATCTCTGTTAATAAAAAAAGGCAGGCTCAGTGGCGCAGAAAATCACTAGTCTGGAGCCTTAAAGAGACTCCTTCAAAAATTCATGATTATAGAATGGAATCCTGGGCTACATTTTATTCCTGAACGAAATCAGGATATGGAGGGAAAAAAATCCAATTTTCATTAAGTGGAGAAAATAAAGAATAAATCCCATAAGCGGACAAAGTCATTGATCACATGGAACATGATTATATACTCAATATGTAAGAACATTTTCCAAGTTTCCCAAGTACCCAATACTTTTCCTAAATACTTTTCAAAGTTAATTTTTCTTTTCTTGTTTATTCATACCCCTAGCACTAAATCCATCTGAATAAAATTTCTGATTGTTCTGGTCAACCGCTGTAGGGTAGCTGCAGGACATTCAACTTGTAGTGATATATAGACATTTCACAAACTCAGTATTGACCTAATGACTTGAACATACTACTCCGTAAAGTATTTGGTGATGTGCCCTGCCAATGGTATCCACAATGCCAATACAGAATACCATAAATAGCAGAGAGCAAGCGTCTTTTCCCTCCTTATGTGCGCTGTGCCTACAGCCATCCTAACAAGAGGCTTCTATAATATGACAGAAACTTGAAGGCACGAAATACCTTTTTTTAAAGCAGATTTTGCATTTTCTGTCTATGGGAAGCCTGAATTCCTGTGTCCCCATCCTTTGGGGGCCAGAATAATTAATAATCAGTCCTGCAGTGTAGGTGGGTGTGATGGCTGATAATCAGGATGGTCTTTGGCTCGAACCACGGCTTTTGCACAATTAGAGCAGGAAGAATTCCAGCTTCACTTTTATAGTATTTTAGCTTTCAGCCTTGGCAGACCTGTAACGCACTGTTTGTATGGAAGAGACTGGATTATTTTAGATGTAATCTAGTCAGCTGCCTGGAAATACAGCTACTGTAAGTGTATGCTACAAGGCCTTTTTACCATATTATCATACACCAAATTATTCTTTTTGAATTATTTTTCACATATTTAATGCAGCTGCAGATCTATTCATGAAGAAACATTTCAGTAGTTCAGCTGATCAGCTCAAAACCAAGAAGAAACTCCTGACAGTTCATCTTCTTGCTTACTTAAGCATGGCTGAGTCATGACTACAGTGAATCCAGCACTTTCTTTAACTTTTATTCGTTCATTCATTCATTCATTCATTCATTGTTAGGGTGCATGTGTGAGGGGCTTGGGTGAGTGCAATTTAATTTTTCGTGTAGGTGCCATCATCCCTGATATCTGAGGTAAGCTGAGATTGAAATATTACTTCACACAAATACTTATTTTTCATGTTTTGCGTAACAATATATTCATAACATTGGACTTCTCAGAACTCATTCCAATTATTTTCATTGCAAAGATGGACAAAGAGGACCGCTGAGAGATGGGGAAAAACCTGGTCTTTCAATTCAACACTTACTTACATTTATAAATTTTCAACACAATTGACTATATGAGCTGAAAAAGATCAGTTTTAATTGGGCCACTCAGCCCTCTCCCAGCTTTAACTTGCACCTCCTTAGTACATTTGCCAGCAAAGATAACATAATGGCCTTTTTGCACTTGCTGCCCTGCACTGCATTTTGAACTGATGTGCTGATAGTAGCCCTGTCCATGCCCAGCTGAGTTGGCACATGGACTTGCCAAGCTGGGAAAAGTACATTTTAATTGTAATATCCCCAAACCAGGAGCACATTTGCTAGAATTCCTCATTCAGAGCTCCCCTCTGCAGTTCTGTCCCTGGCTCTTTTTCTAATGAGTAGGAAAGACACACATTGGATTAAACTGAAGGCAAGTGATGGGTGGAAACAAACCCTTGCAAAAGGTAAGGAGCTGCTTAGTATTCAGGAGCAAGCAGAGTACTTCAGCTTCTGCAAACAGCTCATGTGGGATCAACTTTTATTTGGCAAGGAGGATGCCTTTCCCACCGTGCAGCACCTTTCTGAAGCTGAGGAATTAAGCAGATGTCAGTGAAGACAAAGGAGCACGATTCTGTGCCAAGCCGGGCAAGTGAATGAGGTGGTTTGCTTTAGTGCTGGAGAAATTGGGAGGGAATTTGGCGTCGTAACCAGGCACGTTATAGAGAGATGTCTTTGTTTCCGTGCCCCGCTGTTTGTCACGAGAAATCACCACCCTGGTAGTAACTGCTGAACTGCGGGATGCTCCAGGTTGGGGATTGCTGCCCGTGATGTTCACAGGGGACAGCCGTCAGGCTGGCGTGCGCTGTCAGGCCGGTGTCTGGCTGTACATGGGCTCGACCGCCAACTCACTTAGAGCAGCACAGGGCTTCCGCTGCAGCTTGCTATCACAAGCCTCACAGCCAAGGGAAAAATCAGGGGTGAAGGAGATTTTAGTGTCTGTCTGTCTGTCTCCCCACTCTCTTTCAAGGGACCGTGCAGGCTGTTGGCTCCTGCTGCTCATACTGAGGTTAACTTGCTTCCTAAGAGAGCCAGAGTACATGTTGTGGTTCTGTTTGCAATCTGACCCTCTGCCACTGTGTATAAGCAGGCCTTTTGTACCCAAAACAGCTCCAAATTACTGTACATAAACCATAATCTTCCGGTGGGAGCACTGTAGTTTTCCATTTTGCTGCTAATTGGATGATACACTTGCAATGGTCTTTGTTAATGCAGCTAGTGCTGGGCAGGGTACACTGATGGAAGGCTTTTATTTAGAAATCTTGCAAAAATGCAGTGACTGTCCTCATTTGACAGCAATTGAAACCAATCGTCAATTAACTAAATAACAGCCAATTAGCTTGAAGAAAAAAAGAAGAAAATTGCTTACTTCACATTCTTTGGTGAAGCAAGCACCAGTCAGAGGATGGGAGGGTTTTTCTTTTTCCTATGAGAAGACAAAATAGCAAAAAATGTGCAGAAAATGCGCAGTGGGGTTTTTTTTAAAACATCTTTTTCTCACACAAGAATATTTGAGAAACTAGCTAAGAACATCTTAAGCTCCTGAGACATTTAATTTCCTTTGATTTTTTAAAAATCAAAATTACAGTCATTATGCAAGCACAACTGTGCCTCCTTTCTTTCACGCCACTGGAGGATACTTTAAGCACAAGGGCAGCTCTGCTGAAGCTGGCTGCCTTCGCAAGGAAAGACCAGCAAACAGCTGGCTGCTGTGCGGTGTGACCACAGGCAGGACTATGATAACAACATTGGCATCACCAGACCAAGCCCCTCCTCTTTCATATTTTATGGACTTTTAGGGGTCCGTAGGTGAGACATCAGAACTTTTAATGTTAAAAGACCTGAAGCACCCAGAGGCATTAGGAAGCAGCTGAGTGGTGCTGTCAGGACTGGCATTTTGGTCTTCGGTCCCTCCAAGCCCCATGTTTCATGTCTGTATCCTTTTATGAACCTGGGCAATACTGCCAAAAGGTATTGATTGAGTCAGGGCCATTGCACAGCGAAAGCCAGTCACACTACTGGCAGGAAGAAAAAAGTCTCTCTTCTGGATTATTGCTCTTTATTTGAACTGTTAGCCATCTCCCCAAAAGCAGCAGTGCAATTCAACATGAAGACTAAAGCTTGATCCCATAGGCTTTCAGCTGTGGTACCCTTTAACTCTTGCCAGCCTCAGAGCAGAGGCTAATGTCTGCGTGGGTCTCTGACAGCTGGGCTTTCAGTGGATGATACGCTGGGCAGAGAAAGAGCATAGATTAGACCAAGAGGCAGCTGCTACCAGCTAACTTTATATTGCTGGGTTGGTAAGAGATGACCATTTACTCATGACTTCCTGGCTTTGAATTTTTATTGCACTTTCCTCATAAGCAGTTAAGGCCAGCAGTTAATGCACAAAGGCATTATGTGGCCTCGCTTCTCGCCTCTGGGGCTGGACCACAGCTGATCCCTTGGGGTTGACATCAGGGCTGCGTCTGCCTAATGTCCATCAGTTGCATCAATCAATAATTCTTCACTTAGACTTTTTACTCATTGCTCAAAAAGATTTTATTATGCTACTTTGAGCTGCTCACAGCATCATTTCACAGGTTTCAAATTGTGTTACTCTTCTGTTAATACTTTTAGGGCCCGTGTTTCATAATTGGATACTGGAGGGTGAGAGGTATGTCTTTTTGCCGTCAGGAAACCAATGAATATTGGATGCTTTTTCATTAACTGACGTGAGATTCAGCACTGCACATATTGACCTGTTACTTTCTTACAGGAGCATTTTACACCTGAATGCAAGTTCAAAGAATCAGTATTTGAAAACTACTACGTGACGTATTCTTCAATGATCTACAGACAGCAACAGTCTGGCCGGGGTTGGTATTTGGGTCTTAACAAAGAAGGAGAAATAATGAAAGGAAACCACGTGAAGAAAAATAAACCTGCAGCACACTTTCTTCCAAAACCATTAAAAGGTAATTGCTTGGGTTTGCTCTATCTATCTGAACTGACGTTATCTTGTGTCAGAGACGTTTAATTGCAGTGCATACATATTTGAAGGGTTCAGCTACTTATATAACAGGAGTATAATGTTCTGTAACACACTGTTAATCTAACCAGAGCTGCTTTTTTTGGGTCTCTCTACGTTACCTCTGCATTTCTCTACGTTACCTCTACTCTAACCAAATACACATATTAGTTTCTATGTGCCCAAAGTGTCTCCATTATAGATAACCAATGCTCTACCTGGAATGGCTCAAACATCTGCTCACAGGCCATCATGGACTTGCTGTATAGCTTGTCAATCTGTGCTTTATGTTACAGAATGTTTGTTTGACTGGTTTTGCCTGAGATAAAGTTCTAATGTGCGCAATTAATGTGACATCAGCAGGTGACATTAAAGGTAATATAATGTGTGTGGCCTACGTGTGTGAAAACAAAGGAAATAGAAGACTGAAAATGCATTTCTGCACTCACCTGCTCAGGCTACATATACATGTAACAGGTCAAATCACAGCTGTTGACAGTGCGGCTTCACCATTAGTAAGGAAATGTTGATTTATATCAGCTTAGGTCTATCTTGCAGAGTTTTGTAAGGGCAGTGGGTAGGTGGGTGATTTAACTGGGAGAAGGAGGGAGCTGTGGTTTTTCCCTACTGTAAAATGTCATTCCCTTAAGAAGAGCTCAGAGGTTCTTAGGTTTGAAATAGAAGAGGCATCCTTGCTGTATTTCTTTCATTCACTCCTTACATTGCGTATTGCTGAATGAAAAATCCCAATGTTTCGCAGCCAGACATTGCACCAACAGACCAAGTAGCCCGTAACACGTGCTGATGTGCTGCCTCTCTTTTGCTTTACAGTGGCCATGTACAAAGAGCCTTCTCTCCATGATCTCACAGAGTTCTCAAGATCTGGAAGTGGGACCCCAACAAAGAGCAGAAGTGTTTCGGGAGTGCTAAACGGGGGTAAATCCATGAGCCAAAATGAGTCAACGTAGCCAGGTTCAGGCAAGCCAAGTGCTCTCTAAACAGAACCTTACCTCTGGATGCAGTTGAATTCTTACTAGCAGTCTTTCATCCAAACGTTCAATTGCCCAGGACAAGCCACCGAACTTGCATAGGTCACTCGTTTATCAGCCATTAGATCTACTGGTTGTCAGAGGATATACCCCAATAATGTAGAATATGCTTGTGCATATCACAAGGCACTTGGATAGCCAGCAAACATAACTGCGGAATAAATCTCGGAGAAGAAATGTCCAGCTCTTTCTCTCTCTCTCTTTCTCTCTCTCTTTCTCTCTCTCTCCTATGCTTTGTGGAATACGAAACAAAAACATTTCACAGCATTCACTGCTGATAAGAATTTGCTTTCCAACTCAGAAAAAGACCACTTTTGCTCTTCAAAGGAAATTTTAATGCTTGTATGTTTTATAGGGGCAAACAAAAAACAAATATGTAAACTCTGTTGTTTCCTTGGCTTACTGTTTTATATCTAAGGCTTGATAAAAAAATTTATCCTTTAATTTGGAATAGTGCAACTTTTTGATTTCTGAACTCCAATGGGTCTTTAAAGCTATGTCTTTAAAAAAATAATTAACACTTCAGGGTTGGAACTGAGAGTTGGTGTCTCAGGCTCAAGCAAACAGTGTTCTTGTGGTTTTAAACACAATGAAATATAAATTTTTATAGATTTGTAGTTTCTGGTAAAGTTCTTGTGCTAACCCCAGTCTGTAGGAATTGAGTTGTTTTGTTATCCCAAGCGGAAGTTAACAGAAAGGGATAAAATTATCCTCCAGTGTAGATTTCTCTTAATTCCATTTTGTGTGTCATGTTAAACTGTTGTTGTGGCTTCTTTTCTAAAGACAGAAACTGTGGAATTAAGGTGACTTAATTTTTTTATAAGAAACGTCTTATTTGTAAATCCTTCTTTCACTGTAACGGGCACGTGAATATTGTGTAGGAGGAAGCGTTAGGACAGGTTACCCCTAAACAACATATACTTATACATGCTATTGGAAACAATTGTTTAAAAAAAAAAAATGTAGTTAGGTTTCCATTTAGGTCATCATGTCTGTTGCATGGGAGAAAGTTGGAATATTGGCATAGAGTTGCATGATGTGTAAGATTTTGTGCATTAATCATCGTTGGATTCTGTGCTCCAAAACTGACATAGTTCTGTACAGGCAGCTTTCTGCCTCGTACAAAAGAGTTGTTTATTATTTGTTGTATACAAAACCATGCACTGAATAAACTATTTATATTAAGATGTACTTTTTAAAAAAGCTTGTTTGATTATATGATGTACATCGGTGATTAATTTAAAGGGAAAGGGTTGGCAGTTAAATTATAAAGTTATAAAAGAAACTGTAATTAATGTTCAAAATCTTTCTATGTAATGGGTTATTCCCCCATAATGCCGTACGCTATTCAAATGAGAACGTGTTCTTTCTTTTGGATATTGTTAGAACTGGTCTTACATGCCCAGCCGAGATACTCAAAACACAGTGACTAATAAGTGCCACAAAGTCTTGGTAACGGCCCCTCTGCCGTGTGCTGCTGGAGCCCCAGTGAATTGCACTCCTCTGCTTTGAGCTTCTCCAGCTTCTCCGTGTCCGCCCTCCCCGTTAGACTTCCTTAGCACAGCACACCTCCCCACAGCCCTCGGTACAGAGGTCCCAAAGAGATCCGGTAAGTCAAGCACTGCTTGTGCCAGAGTGGCACCTCTAGGATGCTCGGAGTTTGCTGTGCATCACTGCAGGCACACCGTAGGGGCCAGCTTTATCTGGGCTCGAGGAAAAAGGCTCCTATGCCCTCCTGCCTTCGTGCACATGCTCTGGAGAGAAAGCATCCCTCTCTCCTGTCTTTTCTCTCCAAAACTATCACTGAGAACTTTTCTCATCTATAACATCCAGGCAGCTCTGACAGGTGAGCTTCACTCATCAAGGTGTTTTGAGAAGTTCTAGGAGGAACAAGTTCTCATCACGGGTCGCTGAAGAACCAGTTCTGGAAGGGCATAATGGAAATGGAGGCAAAAACTACTTATAAATGCTAGCCTGACATTAACATCAGGTATTCTGTTCTCTGCTCTCTGTCCCTCCCACTTGACCAAGATGGAATTAGACCTCAGACCAGGTTGGGACAATGGGGGGTTTTTTTAAACGTTAGAGCTGAGGGAGGAGGGAAGGAGATTATGCTTCAGATCAAACCCCTGGATTTGTTGTTTTGTGACAAGTAGTAGGCAAAGAGCTCTGGCTTGTTGAGCTCCCATATTGGAGCAGGGTGTTGCCCTCCCAAATAGCACCATCTTGCTGGCCTTCAGAGGGGCTGGGGGTCCTCAGCTCACCCCTTTCCAAAGGGTGAAGAAGGTGGGAGCACAACCAATGCCAGAGAAATCCTTAAAAATTGAAGATGTGGCCGTGATTGCTCCAGAAGTTTTGATAACTCAGTGAGTCTGGAGCACCTGTTCCCTTCAACCAAGTGTGCTATGCCTTTGTGGAACATTCCTCTTAACCCTCCCAACCCCAAATATCAGACTTACTGAGGTGCATGTTCCAGAAAAGGAGTCTCAGTGCCTTAGGAACGTAAAACCTGAATAAAAATAGGCATATTTGTGGCGAAGCTAGTTAGATACATTGTTCAATGTGGAGCATTTGCTATATTAAAGATAACTGGAGGTCTGCTGCTTTGCTTTACTGCTGCTTTACTGTTATTCCCCATCCCGAGTACCTCTAACCTTGAAGGTCATCTGCAGTGAAAGACAAATGCTCATCTCAGAAATTGTTCCAAGGTCTGTAGTCTGACCCATCTTTCATATTGACATTGGCATCAGCTGTGAGCATTCACTGCCAAGTCCCTAGTTTTAAAGGTTTCTAATATACCAAGCTGACAAAAGCCACTCTTGGACTGAGAAGAGAAGAGAGAGATGGTGATAGATGAGCCATAAACAGCTGTTTCTGAAAATTATGTTAAATTTTTGACAAAACTGTTCCAACAGTAGTTTTTCCTTCAGAGTACTGTGGAAAGGAGAATACTCTTGATAGAGTCCTGAGAGTAGACAAAAGCTCATGTCTACTATGGGCAATGTGGGGGATTATGCCCAGGGATTTACATGTAGTCTCTGGAGCCATGGACTGAGATTTAATAAGAAAAAATAGAGTTAAATGTGACTTTGCAGACAGTGATACTCTGACCCAGCCAGCAAGGTCCCTTGGGTAGACAAGAATGTGGCTTCAGCAGAGGACCAGATTTAAGAGTATTTACTTATACTTCAGCATCCATAAATTATAAAGATGACTCCTGAATACTACCTTCCTTTAAGAAATCTGCTAGATGTTGGAAAAATGTCCACGTTGGTGGCTGTCTGTCAAAAGAAAACTTACAGCCGCTGGTCAATCCACCTAGCTCTGCCACATGTACGGTGGCAGAGTGCAGTGAGATGCACACCTGGGATAAGGACAAAGCCCAGGGGCTGGTATGAAACCAAGCCCTGCACTGGCTGTGAGCCACTAACCATCAGCAGAAGGCTTGGTCTCAGGCCCTGCTGTCATTGCCAATGTGATGGCTGATGAACCTGCCGTTTCTCTTGTCCCTGCCTCTCCACCAATGCTGCCCACGCTGCAGCATACCACTGGCCTGGAGTTGGCTCCGGAGGTGCAAAACCTGTGCAGCAGCTTTCTGATTCACCTGGGCTTCACATGACAAAGCCCTGAGCCACCGCAGGGGCTGTGCAGAGACCTGATGAAAGGCTGACAAATACTACCCGCCAACCCAAAAGAAAACAGGTCATCCATGAAACTGGGAGGAATATTGCTAGGAGCACAACTATTATGAGGCAAAATTACTGCCTTTTTGTGATCCACCTGTCAGAGCTGCTTTCTTGGAGGTCTGTGCACAGGACTCAGGCATTGCCTGCTTGGCCTGGTTTTGGGATGAGGGAGGGTGAGAAGAGCTCTTCTCTGTATCACAGAGATCTTTCTTTTTTCATTTTCTTTTTTCTTTTAATTTACCTCATGCTACCTCATAGCATGGTTGTATCTCTGTAGCCACTTGCTCAGCCATGTTCATCGCTGGCACGATGGAAGACAATTCCCTACTTGGGGAAAATATCTCTAAGTTATCCCAGGGAAGAACGGTGCCCCTTCTGCAGCACCGTCTGGTGTCCTCACCGCTGGTTTCCAGCCCACGGGCCAGGTTTTCCAGTGGGATAAAGGTGGTGTAACGAGCTCAGGGATGCTGTGGTACACCAGGCCTCTCCCCAGCTGAGCACCAGCTCGAGAGCCAGGCCTGGCAGAGCTCTGCTGTGTCTTGAGTATCTCTGCGTGGAGACCAGAGCCAGCTCTAACGGGTTTAAATGTCTCCCTGACAATTCTATGACCAGGACACTTTTGCAGGACAGAATCTGTACGTAACAACCTCCTATCTTCTAATAAATAATTCTCTCTAAAACAGACTCCCTCTCGTCTGGACTCTGATTTTTATCACTGCAGATATTTAAGGGTTCTCTACCCCATCGCTGGTGCATTACACCATTGCTTAGCTTTCCTTTCTGTGTTAACATTGTCCTTCTCCTATGTCTCCTGAACCAGAGAGGGGCAACTTGAGTGGTCAAGCCAAGACCATCACAGATGGATCCTTCAGTTTGCTGTAGCCTCAACACGGTCCCTGGAGGACACAGAAAGTGTGATGCTTTTTACCAGCTCAGGAAATGGCTACTGTAAATATTGGAGCTTAGTTTCCTGTGTGGTGTAAGACCAAGACAAAACCCCCATGGTTCTGTCTGACTTTGGCTCTACAAAAAAGCAATGACAAAAATGAATAGCAGAAAGCCTATTTAAAATAAATTGGTTTCTTAGGAACAAGTCCTACCATGCCATCTACCCTGAATAACACAAGCTTTGGGCTATTTTCAGCTCTTTTGGGGGGACATGTTCTTGGCAACTTAAAATTCCTGACTCAGATCACAGGGCAAATTTTTAAGAAATTCTCTTCCCTGGCTTGAGTGAGCAGAGCTGTGGGGCCGTGCTCTTTCCTGGCAGGTTGGCACCGAGGTTCATGCCTTTTGGAGAGCAGGGTCCTGAAACAAGCTGGGTTTGCTGGTGCATGATGGCTTTCATCACTGATCGGCTCCGGTAGCAGAGCTTACCCTGCTTTGGGTACATGCCATGTCAGTTTGGGGGGCACTCGATCACCCTGCCCTTCTGCAGCTTCTCTCACGGGGAAGTTTAAATATTAAAGGGAAACCCAAATTTGAAACACGTTTTACATTAATCAGAGAAATTGAAGTAATAAATTATTCCATCTCATCAGGAACTGAAAGTTTATTCCCCTCAAAGATCATTATTAACGATTTGGAAGTTAAGAATCTTAAATACCATGTATGGAAAAGTACCTTCAAGCACCCGTAGGCCTAATTTTTTCCCCACATATGTTTGGCATTTCTC